CAATTTACATTTTCTACTTCCTGCCATCCAAGAATATTGAACATTACTTCGTATCCTTCACAGAACCATCTGTGTTTAATTTTTCTGTATGATGATTTTCTTATTGGGTTTTTGTGATTTATTTATTTATTCTAGTTATTAATATACATCAAATACACACTTGACAAAGACTATCTCTTATTTTATTGTAAACATTTAAAAACAGTTAGTCATCAAATAATGCCAACTTAATTATGCTTCATGCAACATATTGTGATATGATTCCCCACAAGTCCTTCTAGGTTATCTCCATATCACCTCCCAAAAAATATACAAACTTTCTTGCTCTCCTTCAGTGAAAGAGAAACTAGCATCTAAAATAAATAAATCAAGATACAATAAAAACCAGCAACCTGGCTAGGACAAAACAAAGAATAAAAGGAACCAGAGAAAGGCAAAAGAAACAGACAAGAAACAGAGACAGGATTGTTCTCACACACAGAGAAGTCCAATGAAAATAAAATTGGAAACTATAATGTATGAGCTAAAGACCTATAAGGAAAGAAACTACTGTTACAAAACATCATCAAACAACCTCCAAAGATGCTACTCAGTTAGTTTTGTGTTGGCCTCTACTGCTGTTCATGATGCCTGTCCCTAAGAGTGCTTTGTGTTACCAGTTATAAACTTTTAGAAAATTATTTTTTTATCCTCTGCAAGTGGTCATCAATTGGGGATAACATCTGTGTTAAGAATGAAGGCTCATATTCACTTAAAGTCTAAGCACTTAGGTCACATCTGACACTGTGCACATCACAGTCTCTCTGTGTGTTCATGTCTCAGTCTTTATTTATTTAAAAAGTTCATTTCCCCTGTGTCTCTCACAATATTTCTGCCTCATCTTCAGAATTCAAGAGGCCAGCAGGAAGGGATTTGATGGGATCCCTGCATTTATTCCAGTTGTGGGTTTTGGCATTTGTTCCTGTCTGTTGCGGGAGGGAACTTCTCTGGTTGAGCAAGACACTGATCTATGTATAACAGGTTGCCGTTACAAGTCATATTATTGCTACTATCCCTTAGCAGAATGGTAGCATTTGTTTTCCCTTGGGTCCCTGGAATATCTAGTATCAGGTGTGTGGGTACATCCACATATACATTACACATACATGTATGTGTAAGTTATCAAAAATCTTACATCTCACACATAAAAGTCATATATCAATAAATTATCAAGAACCTTTCTATCAAATTTATTGGATATGGGTTAAATCTTACAGAGTCAACCTGAAATGCAGTCATAATTATTAATGATATTCTATGCTATATGGAAAACAATATATTTATTTACCAGAGAGAGATTGAGATTCGCACAGACCAGGAGTTAGAAGTGTGGCTGGCTTTCAGGAGAAAAGAGTGGTTCCTTTTTCTTTCACTTCCTTTTATATCTACCTGTTTCAGTTTATATGTCCCCGCCCTCACGGGCAGATAGCTTTGTGGGGTTCACTCCTACACAGAATTGTTGGTTAGTCCTACAAAAGACACTCTGCTAAGGACAAAAATCAAAAACATAAACATCAACCTGGCAACAAACATTTTGACATATAGTGAAGTCACAACTGAGACACAAATAAAATTTCTAACTCTATCCAAAATTATATATAGGATATATGTAGATCCCCATCAAAGTATTTAAAATCCAAATAGACAGTATTAAAGAGATCCACAACTGATAAACATACGAGAACAAGTGACCCTGGAATGCCCAACTACACTCCATACATCTTTAATGCAAATTCTTCACATAAGACACAGGGACAACCAAGGAAGACAGGAGATTAAGACTGTAATATCTAGAGGACCAGGATGCTACTGTGAGATGATATCTTCTAGATAGGAAAGGGATGCTGGACCCATGAAATCCCAACAATACTGCTGTCTAAAGAAGAAATGGTTAGTAGAGGAGGATACATCCCATTTCCAAAAACCTAAATGAACCTAAATGAAGAGCTATGGGTTATAAGTGTCTACTAAAAGTGAGAGAATCATTAGTTTCCTATAAGGGCAGTATCCCTGATAAATTATTCATTCCCAAGTGGACTACTGTAAACACATGTACATATAAATAATGATAATTGAGCTTAATAAATTAAATACTAACAGAATCTTATGAACATGTGAAATAGTAATTAAAGATGAATTTGATAATGAGCATGGGATGGGTATGGAATGCATTTGATTGGGGATATTGATGAATACAGCAATTTAATAGAAAATATCAAAAATCCTTTCAATTAAAATATTTTTATTTTTAAAACAATCTTATTGTACATACAAATCACACTGAAAATCAATAAGGAAACCTCCTTTCAGACTGAAACTTGGTGTGAATGTTCTGAGTTCAGTGTTGTATACTGAATGAAAACACCTGGGAATCAGGACTGAACTTCACAAACAGAGATACAGGGTCAGTGCTGGGCTCTTTATTTATGAGCATAGAGAGCACTTGTCTGAATTTCCTGCTGAAGAATGAACTCTGTGGTGGATGAATTACCCATAAATGTCTCAAGCAGGTGAAGGAGTCAAAACTGACAATTAAGGAATAATTGAAAATTAGCCCATTATTTATCACATATTTGTGATATAATAAAATATCTTGCTGTGTTTTGGACTACAGAGACCCCTATGCCTTATTTGTGCCATGGAGTCCACTATAATAAAGTTTTTATGATTTTAGAAGGAATAGCAATGATTTATGAATGCTGAATACTGATATTAAATTAAGGAATTGGTTTTAAAGAGGTAGCTTGGTGATGATTCATGAAAAACAACTGGTGTGCACACTAAGTTTTGAAAAATAAAAACATTTAAGCTGATATATTATTTTCCTGTAAATAGCTTTTGAAAAATTTGAACTTGATTATTTTGTTTTTGTCTGGATTGGGCTGTGTTTCATGCATCACTCCTGTACATTAGGTCAATATTTCTGAATGTCCTCAAAGTCATAAAGCAACATGTGTGTAGGTACAAAGTGATGTAGACACTCCACTCTGGGACCGTACTCTGATATCTTCCATCTCTCCAGTCACGTCCCCTACCTCTTTACTGAAAACCCTTGAACTTTTCCCTACATGAGATAAGATTGCCTGCTCCTAGATTTTCCAGATGAAAAATTCTTCGATTACAGGTAAACTATGTACATGGCGAATGGGAGGGCTTTTAAATTATGTCACTTCTGTTCCTGTAGAAAGAGAGTGACAGATTCTAGGAACTAACTAAACTTATCTCTGTCAGATCTCATGCCCTTCAAGACATGCACTCTTGCTGACATAGAAGATGTCTCCTGGGTCTTCCATGTGGTTACCTGAGAGGGAAAACCTTTGGTTAGGTCCAGGAAACAAGACAGCTGGCCCCTCTCTGCACATACTCCTCGGGCTCTGCACAATTAATTTCCTTTTGTTTTCATTTTTGCTCTCTTCCAACAATGCTGTTGAACAGATGAACGTGATGATACTTGCTAAGTATCAAGGGAAACATTGATAAAATTTCTTTGAGGCAAATCATAAAGGATGGAGTAAAACGACTCTGAAAGTCAGAATACATAGAAGAGTGTTTTGAAATGCTGATATTGGATTATAACAAGGATATTGCAAGCATCATCTTGCAGATTCTGTGACTACCTGCAATGAAAAAAGGCAGAAGTACAAGAAGAGGAACCATTAGAATGAGAAGGTGGTCAATCGGAGAAGAAAATGGTAAAAAGATTGCAAAGGAAGCAATGCATGCATGGTCTTCCTTATTGTTCCCAGAATTAGGCATGAACGTTTGTAGATGTTCAACACACATTTTCTCAATGGAATGTCTTCTCATACAAATACTGTTGAGTGAAAATGTTTGATTTCTACTGATAATGAGATCATGATAGGGAAAAAAACTGGTTTCTCCTTTGCTGTGAGATAGGATTAGTGTGGGAGCTCTTGGATAGAGGACACATTGAACCAAACTTTCTTAAAGCAAAGTTCAGATGCAGGTGGGAAATTATCAGGAAGAATGACAACTTGTCTCATAGAGGTCAGGGAACTGAATCTTATAGTTCACTGCTTTGTAAGGTATATATCTGTCAGTGACCCAACGTGGCACTAGATGGAAAAAGGTCATGATAATTCCTTCATTTATGCAATATTTTTATTTTAATTTAGCAGACATATTCCCAGATTAACCATGCATTTTAATTTTTTAGATTCTCTGAAAAGAGATGGAAGAAAGTGTCAGGGAAACTGGGACAAACCACTTTCACACAACCATCCCCAATGGGCACAATAAATTCAGCTTGAGCTCAGCTGAGTATAATGTGAGTGACTCCCATTAATATTGAGAATTAAGGTCAGAGGTTGTTCTAGATGAACAAACTATAGTAGGATATATGATGATGATGAAATATATCCATTAAGTAGCAGAAAAAGTCTCAGGTATGTTACTAAGGTGCACAGTTCACGGGGAAATATACATATTTGAGACCAGTTAGGGTATACACGTCACACAGTGTGCCTGCTCTGAATTCCCCTAATAACAAATTCAGACCTAATCAGAATATTTTAGGATTTTCCCTGAATCTCATGAAGCAGAAGCCACATCAACACCTAGGACCTTCATTAAAATTTGTCCCGGTGATATCAGCAGACATTTATGTGATTTTTAGCATTTTGTGCATTTAGCTGGTGTGTTTTTGTGAGTGTGTGTGTGTGTGTGTGTGTGTGTGTGTGTAGGAAAACAGAACTCTATTTTGGCCTTCCTTACAGACCATGTGTACAGAGAGCATTATGGGAAATCATTAGAAGGAGAGCCAGCTGAGACTGAGAACCCAGGAACACTCAGTTACATCTGCACCTGTCCCTGCAATGTGCTGGTTTTCCATGTGTGATCTGTGCCCCCCTGCTGATTCTGAGTGCTCCTGCAGGGGAGGTTGTCAGTGTTCACACTGAAGTCCTCTCACTGTGTCTCTAGTACAGTGATAAATGCCGGTGTCACCGCCTATTAAGCTGTTCATTTGCAGGTAGACACTGCTCCCCGGAGATGGTGAATCTGCCAATCATGGAGTCTGCATATTCTCTTGCATAATTATTACCTTTTTTAATTCTAGCAACCCACTCCAGCCCCTTCCCTGGAGCATGCCGGATGCAGGACATCCAGGCACTACTGAAGGTGAATCCAGGGGCTGCACAGGAGTGTTTTAGGAACTTTCCAGGCTGCACAAAGCCTCCCCCAGACTCCACCAACTGCACTTCACACTTTACACCTGCAAACATAGAAAATCCTTTCTGTCAGGAAACTAACACAAAATATCCATTATTTCTCTTACTTACAGCAACTCACCACATTAAGCATCTCTTATTATGAATAAATTGCCTTGTAAAAATGAAACAAGGAAAACTAAGCACAGTTCCAACTCCATGCTGAATGTTTCTGTGTGATCAGTGATGACCAGAGAATGGGAGGACCTGTGAATCCAGAGCTATATAGTCAAGCTGCTTTTCATGATTACAGGAGGATATAATTTGCATGTCCCCTGAAATACATGAATTGAGAGATGTGAGCCTTAGATGACAGAATTAATGGTTCAGATGTCTGAGATGAAATAAGGGTGAAGGAGGCATTTATAGCATCTAGTGTCACTGATGGTCCTGTGGACATGACTTCGTTGATAGAAAATATATTTTCAAGATAGTGTTCAACTGTGTTCATCTCCACAACTGCATTGATGAAGAAATTACGGAAGCAGAAGAAATCTAAGTATCTGTTACGTTTGGAATACATGACACTGTGTCTAAGAAAATAATGGTGTCAGGAAAGAAACTGAACCATATCTTACAACAAATTTGCAGGAACTTTCACAATAGAGCAGAATCTCAGTCCAGTTCAATTCATGGACTTGAAATAGAAGATTCCCTGGCCTTCTTGTCAACCCATAATTTCCAGTTGGAGGAAGACAATAGGATATTTTATAAAATCACTGATATCCCAAGCACTATTTTATACATAATATAGGTTTGTGTAATCTTTAACATGGAGTTGGCCTAGGGGATTCATACCTGTCACAATGTATTCCCCACGAGGTTGCATACATATTGGGAACATGGCATTCATTTTTATCATAGGGAGGGAACTTCTGCTAGAAAAACATGTAGAAATAAATGTTCTGCATAAAAAGACATCTAGCCCTTGTGTTTATCAGGTACCACAACATTTATTCTAAACCAAATAGTCTTTAGAATAAACATGACCAAACATGAACTGCAAGAGGTGACACTGTGTCAGTGTTGGTGCTTGTTTTATAAAAGTTGGAGATGGTAGGGCAAAGTACTGGGAATGGAAGCGAGCCCCTAAGGGCACAATAGAAAAATGTATGATCTCAGAACCTATCTCAATTAGCATGCACTTATACTGAATCACTATATAAATTCTGTGGAAAATTATTTAATAACACCTTTAATCAACATGCAGTTATTATAGTTATAGGGTGAAAAGGACCAAGGTACAACATCCTGTCGCTGACTTGAACGTAAGTTATGTGCTCTTCCATGCTCCTGACTAAAGGCTATTGAATGTGTGTTTTTATGTATGTTATGATAAGTGATTAATGAAGACACAAAATATGGATTTGAATATAACTTATAAAATAAATATCCAGAATTGTTGAAGAGATCGTACGGATATTGTTGATAAATAAAGTTGTAGTACTGTTTATTGTTTGAGTTCCTTGGAGTCATTAACAAGGAACCACCCTCGTAAAAATGTGTTAAATGTTTAAGTATCTCTTATTCATTGTTCCATGGGATACTTTGTCTGTTGTCCAATAAAGAAAGATTTTTGTTCATGTTTCTCATTCACATGAATATATGCACTCTCTCAATAACATGTACACACAATACACACATACACACACACAGAGGGAGAGAGAGAGAGCAATAGTGATGGAGAGAGGAAAAGCAGATTCAGACTAATAGAAATGAAAGATAGTAACAAAGTAGACAGAGGGAACATGAAGTAGAGAACTTAAATCTTCCCTTGTTCTTGGCCTAATGACATCAAGGGGAAATTTTGATCCTTTCCTTAATGTGACATGGAATGTTTACTTCTAAATCTGAGTTTATTGTGATTGTGTTTAAATATACACCTTCTTTAATCTTGAGTGGGGAATCACTAATGAAATAAATCTACTCAGTTTGGTGCCCTGAGTTGGGGACATCTAATGTGTCAGTGGGGCATTTTGGAGCACTCAGCTTCAAGAAAGTGTAGAACAAAAGCAGAAGAGGGAAGATCTCTTGGTGAGGATATTAACTTTGATCATCACTGTTATCAAAGCATCAGGAGTCTGCACATTTACTTAAAGGTCTTCCCCCATCTGCCTGTGTGCAATAGAGTTCCCAGAGTAAAGGGAGACTCACACTCAGGTCTGAAGCAGTTTTGCCCTAAGGAAGCCTTCTGTTTTTCCACGTTTCTCTTCCTCTATATAGTTCAACTGTATTCCACTTCAGTTTCTCCACAAAGAAAGCAGGTCTTTTGGGGATCTGGCCACACATCTGCCTTCCCATTCTGACTCCCAAATTTTTTTCACTGTGGTTATCTCTGCCCCTTAAGCTCATGAATCTTCACAGTTCGGTCAAAGTATCCACTATTTCTAAGTGTCTTAACTGAGGTTACCTTCATGCATTCTTGGGAATTACCATAGCACCAAGTTTCAACCTTATCCCATATTGGCTCTCTCTATGAAAACATCTCTTTCATTGCTCTTCTACTGCATCCCTACTCCCTCAAACATCCTGCTTCCTGATGTTCTCATCTTCTCTCCCTTATCCCTAACCATCTTCACCAATCTGCAGTTTACCCAGTTGATCTCAACTAATTTATCTTCAGGAATATTTTCTTGATCCCAAACTTTTTGGCCTACTCCCAGAAAAATGACAATTAATGCCACACATACAGTGCTCCACTGCTCTGTGAAAATGAAGATAAACTTGTCTTGTTCATATACCACACTATACCTTCCTTCCATGCCCACACTGCACTATTAAGTCTGAGGTATGGCTCTTGTTAGAAAATCATTAGAGCTGAGAAAATTCTATGTGATTTGGCTGGCTTTTTAGGATGAAAATCCACTTTCACATACCTGGAGACCTCATATTTGTGTCCTTGTTTTTTATAAAAGACCATTATGCTATGAGTTTCCTTGGTGGGCACAGATCTTATCAATGAAGAGTCAGCTGTCCTGTGCAGGTTCTGTGGAACTTACACAATTCTGTATGCTGTGCCACTTTGTATGTGATATAATGATGAGCAATTATTGGTATAGATTTAAAAGTTTGTCTCTTCACTATAACTTTACAAGAAAAAGATAGGGAAAATTTCACCTATAGTGCCTACCTATAATAATTCTCAACTAGTACAGAGATTTCAGTGGAAGATATTGCCACAAGGACTGTTAAATAGTCTACCTTTCTACCTGTATATTGTGCAAAAATCCTTGGAAATAATTCATAAACAATTTTCAAAATCCATAATGTATCATTATGTGAATGATATATTGTTGGTTGATTAGAAACCTGGTACACATGAAAAGATATTTTAATATTCATATTAATGCCTTGATATTTCCTGGCATCCCTTGGATCCATTCCACACTACCCACTCGTCTACAGAGTTACTACATATAATTACTGCATAACAAGTAACTCTGCCTAGGATAAATGAGCATCTTGTTTTTAATGGACTTTTAAGACTTTTCAGGCAATCATGTATTTGGTATAGACCAGCTGCCTTGAGAGGCACATGGCATATTATTTCAGGGTAAAATTTGTGGCTTGGGGGACACTGTGTAATTTTCAGTTCATAGAAAGCCAATCCCCTTCCTCAGGCAGTGAAACTTTCAGGCCACTGCTCTTTCTCCATCTTCCCTAGAAATTTTGAATCACACAGAAACTTGACAAGAAAATTGTTCTTAGACAATAATGTTTTATACCTGTATAATATCATGGTCATTGTATCCTGAAAAATATTATTGTAATGTTTCCAGTATGTTTCTGATAAGCACATAAAATGTCTGATTTTCCACAATAAATGTGTCACAGGTTCAGTCTTGCTGCGGCTCATCCATTCTGGCCTGGTTAACATCAGAAGAACTTGACTTGATGATTAAGCATTGATACTTTCAAGGTTTGCATCATCTGGACTCAAATGGTTATGGAATAATTATTTTTCCAAATCATAGCATAAACACCTCATTTCACTTTAATTAAATACTGTCTCTTTTCTTCAGGAAACCTGGGAGTTATTGAAAAGTTAATCCACAGACTCCTAGTATCAAGAGTCTGTTCAATGTGCAGGTTTACTGTGATCATCCTATGTTACTGGCAGCCATGTGGGCTGACTTCACCCTGTCATTTGGTAGATACTGTGGATTCCTTGGTTTTCACCTTCACACTGTGATGTTCATTAATTGTGTTTGTCTTGATCTCACTAACCTAGTATTAAATAGTCAGTTAGCTCTCCAATTTTTTTTTCTCCACTAGCTGAGGTCACTATAATCAGATCTAGAGAAGGCTCATCCTGGACACTTAATACTTTATTCCATTACAGATGGTTAAATCTGTGACCATTAAACATGAATCAAGGCCAACCATCCTTACTCCCAGTGAGATAATTCTCTAACTCACAGGAAAACATTCCAGCATTTCCTCTTATTATTATTTTAATTTTAAATAGCTTATTTTAAATGTCAATCCCAGTTCCCTTTCCCTCACCTCCTCCCGCACATCCTACCAACCCCCCCCAGCCTCCCACCCTATAGCAATTTCCTTCCACATAGGGGATATCAAGAGTCTGTCATTTCACTCAGGTCAGTGTCCAGGCACTCCCTTAAGTGTCCAGGATGAGAGAGCATTCCTGTTTGTGTTATGGACACACGAAGTCCATTTGTATGCCAGGAATAAACACTGATCCACTGCTCAGAGCTCCATATGTTGCCCAGGCCTCCTCACTGACTCTCACATTCCTGGGGACCTGGATCAGTCCCATGCTTGCCTTCCAGTTTTCTGTCTGTGATCCAAGAGCTCTCACCTGTTCAGATCAGCTGGTTTTGCCAGTCCATTCTTTGCCAATTTGCTCACCACACCTCTCTCTCTGTCACTGGGTTCCTTGTGTTCAGTTCAGTGTTTAACTGTGGGTGTTTGCCTCTGGATGAAGGCTCCAGGAGAGTTATAGACATCAAGTTCATTATCAGTAATGGGCATTCGAGGTGGTCTACCCATTATTGCTTAGCTTGCCTATTGGTATCATCCCTTTATATCACTAGAGGTCACACTGGTGCCTGATCTGCTTCTAACCTATGATTCCCTCTTCCCTCTATTCTATCCCTGTCTCAACCTTCCTGTTCCGTCATGACCTACTCTCTCTTCC